GATCGAGAGGAACCCCAAAGCGTGGACTTCGCGTCGACACAGTCGCGCAGGCAGTCCAATAGCCGCTGGAGCGAGGCTAATGACTCGTTAGGAGGGGCATATACCCCGGCGACGGTCATGCCGCTCCAACGTGCCAATACAAATCCACATCCCCGTTGTTCCCCAACTTCCCGGAAATGGGTGGAGGTGCTGGACCCATCTTGACCAGTGCGACGGACTCTATCTCCAATCTAGCCGGAGCTGTCGGGAATCCTGTGTGACTCTGCGACAGCCAAATCCGTTCCTCGCTCAGCCATGGTCTGCAAGAGCAAGTCTTGCGCCCTGGCCGATCGATTCACGTTAGCCTGTATAATGGTGCGGCCCATTCTCTTCGTCCGTGGTCAGTCTCTTCTCCGTGTGTCCGCTCGGTCCGAGTCGCGGTTACTAGGACGCTTCCAGTCCCTTGTTCTGTCCTCCACAGTTGCTGGTCGCGCTCCTCCTCTTCGGTCTGGTCGGCGGCCTGCAGGCCTTGCTGTCGAATCGATAATCGCCCGGCCTACCCAGGTCAGTGCAGATCAGGCACCTAACGGGGGCAGTGCATTCGCGTGCCCAATGCCCCGCACCTATAGCACTTACCGCTGCAGTCCGTGTCCGACGGGCAGCGTTGTGCCGTATGCCGTATGCCCCGCTTCTATGCATTGGAAACATTGGAGGGGGCGGGTGCTCAGCGCCTCGACTCGCGCCGACACCCATCCTACCAGTACTCTCCCCGCGGTGATAAGTTTCCTCGCCGCTGCGGCCTAACACCGTAGCCACACGGTCCCCATGCTCATCGGGGTACGGCGTCAAACCTCCCCCGTCTTTATGTCGGAGACGTTGCAGTCTCCCGCCGAAGCCACCGCTGACGCTACCTCGACCGGAATGACCGAGTCGTCCAGACCGCTGATGCGTACCTCCGCCATCTTGATAGGGCGAGTCATTTTCAGTCCCCGACCGTCGGGGAAGAATTCGCGCAGGCGACCTGCCAGCTGGTCTGCCTTCTTCGCGCTCTTCTCGCCGGGAATCTCAATAATCACGCCTCCGGTGATCGCTCTCCGGACGCGGATCTCCTTTATCCCCGCGCTCTCCAGCTTCATATTTTGTTTCGTAGCAGCCATAATGTCCGCATACGATCTCCCACTCCCTGGGGCCGCGGTCAATGTGACCGCTGCTCTTCACGGGGCCCTCGCGGGACACAACCTACGCGGCGGCCGCCTTCCTTCTCGACGCTGCTACTGCTGCTGGCGCTGCGAGACCTCCGTCTTCTTCCTGTCTCTTCACGCATGTTTCCTGCCGACTACCTTGGCCTACGTGGCAGTCTCGGCGTCACTCTCGGTCGCGGGAAGCGCTCCAGGGCGCCTTTCGGTCGGGATCTTCACGTTCTCGCGCGTCGTCGGTGCGGTCTTCGTCGACGGCAGCGGTCTACTCCTCGTGGCCCTGACCTTCGCTCTGGCCAGCTCTATGCGGTCCGCAGTGCTTACCAGTTTTCCGTGCGGATCTCGTCCCGCAGCGGGGCGAGATCTCTCGCCAGAGATCTCACCATCTCTTGGAGCGCGAATATCGCGCTCGTTGGCGGGGTAGATCCGTGCGACATCATCCTAGTGTCGGTGGCTTGTCCAGTTGTCTCCGGTGAGGGGGCTGAGCCCGGACGAGGGGGCTGGGCCCGGGCCTCCTGGTTGCTGCCGGCGGGTTTCCTCGTCGCCTTGGTGGGACTCCTCTCCTTCGTCCTGGAGGCGGCGCTTTCGAGATCCGCGACCCTTTCTCGCAGGTATTGATTTTATTATCCTTACACTCTGCAGCTCGTTCTCCAGAGCCTCTTCGTTGG